ATAGAGTTGATTAACATAGTTGGGTAGATGAGAGTTCGATCAAATGTATTTATTTTTCAAATCTTCATTGTAGTTTATTCACTACTCGTGTTGTCTGTATTGGCAAACCTACTCCTTCAGAGGGCCTCCAGGGATGAAAGATCACAGTCTCACCAACGAGTGTTGCCTCTCCGATGGTTTCAATAAATTTAACATCATAGAAACCTCTCCATACCGCACGTCTGCACGTCACGTCATCACTTCCCCTAACACCTGCGATTTGTCGTATTTATCTCCGAACGTCCTGTCTATAATATAGACATGACATCCTATGATATATCCTATAGACATGATATAACATAGATATGACAATATATGGAGACAAGCCACATTGATGGCCATACGATAGTTGAACTGATGAACTCCCCTGTTCAGGGAACACGACAATATGGACATTCGATACACGGGTTATCAAAATCATTATCAAAAAGACTCATCTTCGCATGACATGGTCGGAGAAACGAGAAGAGTCAGTGGAACATGCCATTTGAGTAGGAGCTCGTACGCCATGCACATATGTCAAAGTGTGAGATCTACGAGTTGGAGCGAGGATGAAGAGAAGAAGTTACAGCCCCTAGGAGCACATCATTTTATGCCACTCATGCATACGGTATCTACTACTCCTATCGTTAGACGATACAACCGATTCATCCCGAGGCCTTGATCTCGACCTTGAATGCCTCCTAGTTGGACTTCTTTGCTGCCGAACGGGTCTATAACTCCATCCTGCAGGTATTTCAGTCTTTCCTTGATTCTCCTCAGCCTTCCAGCCCTAACATTGGCAATGCGCAATAGCAAAGGGCAACAGCTGACATCAATATTAGCCTTGAGCTGCTTCTCCATAATATCAGCCCGATGATCGATGCCGAGCTTACCGACGATCTCGATGCAAGGCTGATAGTAAAGAATAGGCATGATAAGTAGTCAATAGTGTTTTAGACATACCATAACAAGGTAGCTGAAGAAGCCCAACTGTGAGCGTGGTAAATTGACCGCATCTCTGTCACAGAGTGGTGATATTGGAACTATAAGATAAGGAATATTGCTGATACACAGGCTAAGTGTGTGGGCGATACCGTTGAGTTCCTTCTCCTGATCTCCCTGTTTGAAGAACTCCTCCGTCAGTCGAAGGGACAGTTCATAATGCTGTTCCCATGGTAGACAGGTATGGCCAATATCAGCTGCCTACAACCACGAAGTACTCACCCAGTGCTATACGAAGTAGTTCACTTTGATGCAGGCTTTAAGGATGAGTAGGCGTTCAGCAATATTCATAGGATCTTCAACCGCAACCCTGAGTAGAAGGATGAGTGGTAGTTCTATGTCACAATGGAAGGAACATCTGCAGGATCAGCAGTACAGGTCTAATACCTAAACTCTGAATCTCGCAGAACCAGCCGAAAGTCCGTTAGTAAAGCAAAATGTTTAGCCATATCGGTTGCAAGGATGAGCTCGATAACCAAAGACCTGAAGACTGCCCAGTCGGGCGGAGAGGGGGAACCTGCTAGTCAGACTAACAGGACCAACCTGAAGCGCTTCCGCTCTTCTCGGGTAAAGTTTTCTAGTATGTTACACTCTGGGAAGTCCACCATAAGTTCGAACGTGGTTGCCACATGAAACTGCTCTAGAACTGATCTATCATTATATCTACGGGGAACGGTACAAACTTGTCCGAAGTGAGACGTAATCATAAGATTGTACCTCAGAGCTAGGCGGTCGTTTGTTTCCACATAGAACCCGTTATTCTTGCCGCTGTGACCAACATCATGGCATATACAAGCCACCAAGAAGGCTGTATGATCCAAGGCACTCACTGGCATCCCTGTTGCGTGGAGGAGGTATTCTCCATGTGATGTGACCTGGGTTTAAGAGTAGCTGCTGATAAGGATGACGCGCTGCCCCCGCTACCTGGGCTGCATGCAATTGATTATGGTACTCGACCTCAGTGTAGGTGTCCGCTATTCGAGTCACAAAACGCCTGAGTATATCCCGCTCTATTTTGAGGGCGTCAAAAATTAGTACAGGTACCAACTAACAAGAGTTCGTTATCAACGATGTCTGATTGATACTGTTGTATAACCTGGCTGCCTATCAATGGTAGAATAGGCATGTTGGGTAGATGGATCTCTTGCAGCTCGATAAGGTTCAAGTTGAAATCACTTCCAACAGCCTAATCACAATGACTCTCTGGTGACTATAGACAAAAGGAATATATCCTGTGCCTGTTCTCTCATTATTCTCGGAAATAGGCGTAAGGTAGAAAACGTGAGGAAAACTGTCCCCAATAATCCGCAACCCCCTGCGGCCTAATAGGACTGCTCTATGCTTAAACTGTGTAAGGTACACAGAGTATAGCGGCGGGATGTCACGAGCCTTGGTCCATGACAGCGGAAAATGACAGCGTTCTTCGACGTGCGCCGTGCGCAATGCGCGCCTTCCCGGCGCGCTAAACGTACACACAAGCGAGTGGATTCCTATTTTTCTTTCCAACTGAGTATGAAATGCGAAAGAACGGAACTACGAACCAGCTTTCTGTCAAAGAGCAAGCAGGGTTTGGTTGTTGCACTCACTAATAGCACGACCCACCTGGAGCATCTCACAAGCCTCTGGAGGTATGTGTCCCACATAGGTGGGGGGTGTAGGGTTTAGTGTGACTGAGGGAAAATCAACTACTATAATACATCCTCACCATGACCACACCATTCAAAAAACTATTGACCAAGTGACGCCACTAATGCTGAGGATTCCAAAAAGGCCAGCAAGGAAAGTGATGGGTTTGAATAAAGGACATCATGTTAGAGGTTAAGGCCCTCAGTTCAGCGAAACGCTTCAGATAGGGATTTCAATTTCGCGAATGCGGACACCAATTCTGGAGGAGAATCTTGACATGGCACCTTGCCTGTCCTCGTCTGAAGCCAACCGCTGAGCTCATTTCCCTACTACACCATTTCCCGGTCTATTCCAAGAATGGTCACTTGTTCATATGTTGCCGTTTCAATTTCTGGTGATCGATACTCTTCCATACCCGTTTCATATATTGCCAATTCAATTTCTGGTGATCGATACTTTCCGCTTCCGTTTCACACTTTTCCATTTCAATTTCATCAGACTTGGCCGAAGAGCCTCCAAGAGCGACCTGTAGCTCGGACAACATGATGTAGTCTACGTCCTGCTGTGTGACCAAGGTGGAGGACTCGCAAATGGAGGATATTCAAACAGGTGCGTGGGCGAGTGGAAACTGTTCACAATATTTCTCATTACTGTCACATAATGTGACACGTGTGAGTCACATGTGGCACAACTGGCCTCGTATTCAATGGGAGCGCCACCAGTTATTCATAACAAACAGGTTGATTTATCTGGCTCCGAAGTCGACTTGGAGAAGATTGAAATTGAAATAGGAGAATGTGAAACGGAAGCGGGAAAAATCGATCACCAGAAACTGAAATGGCAATATACTCAGTTTATCATAGGATGAACAGAAGCATACGCATGAAGGATTCACCATGATTGGACAGCCTACCTTTGGCGCCCGTCATCAACGTCCACTCTTGCTCGAGCTCATTAGGGGTTGAGTCCTGGTTAAGTATCTTCGGTAAAGTCCCACTGAGAAGGAGGGTGAATGCGCATAATCCTACGTGATTAATATATTCTATGAAGTCGCGTCGAGCTTCTTGACGTTCTTCAGTACTGCTCTCGTCATCTTCAAATACCTCCCAAAGGAACGTGCAATGACGATGAGTTCCATCATTCAATTTAACGGCTCATCACTACTCACCACTCTATCGAAGTTCGTCCTTCTCGAAAGTATTTTGACTGAATCCCTAATGCGTGAGGTAGCCTGATAGACTCACCTCCAGCACATTCAAGGTAGTAATTACACGCACCCATAATATCTGCTCGGTGTATTCGGTACTCCGAACTGAGATATTTGATACAATATTATCAACATCCGATAATTCCTGGGTCATCGAAGCAGATAGTTCATTCACTTGTGAGCCTCGACCTGATATTGACACGTTCTACTACGTTAAGCACACGGCTACTTCCGTAGTCTTCAAGAAGCTTTAGTGCTGCTTCAATATCGGTGAATGCCTTCTCATAAGTGGTTGTAAGTCCAATTCTACCAGTATTCATATCTCTAACTGTGTACTCGAGCAGCTGGAGTATCAAGTCCGCGGTACCACTGATAAAAGTGACGTTACCTTAGAATTACGAGCCTCGATGTTGGAGGCAATGAAATGCTGACGGGTAACTTTTTCCAAGTTCATTTTCCCTGACGAAATAGAACAGCGGTTACCATCCCTGAGTGACGGTCCCCCTCTACTAAGTTATATGCACTACCAGACATAACCATGCAGACCAGGATGAGCAGCATAATGAAGTGAGGAAGTTGGTTTTCTCCGTTCGGTCCCCCGAGTATCAGGCTAGTACCACCATATCTGAACTTGCTCATCTCACTGAAAGATGCCATAACATTATCATGATGACTGACGATAGGCAGATAGTAACAGCTAGTGGTAACAATAACCTTGCACGAGTTGGAGTCAGAATACAGAGGTATCTACAGTTAACAGTGAGAGGCTATTGTGATAATGATGAGGTAGAGTGAGAGCTGTACGTAAGGATTCCATGTAGTAGGAGAAGTAAATCAGCATCACTAGGATATGAAAAGGCATCTTGCTCGAGCTCTGCCGCATTAGAAGACTGAGAAGACCAGTTACGGTGATGGTGAGGAAGAGAATGTTATGGATTACTGACGCATGATCGTCACCAAACATCTTTGCACTTCTCCATCGGTTACCAAACAATACGATCGCCCATACACCAACATTCAACCATACTTGAGTTATGATCTGAAGGATCATACAAAGGGAGAAAATAAGATGGTAGACAAGGGTTACTTCAAAACGGGGACCATAAACACTCCTGGCAGGGACGATACCGATAATGAACATAGCGATACTAGATAATATCTAAAATACACGGGTGTAGTAGTAATAGTAGCAGTGAGGTGGTGGTGATAATACGTGGTATATCCAGGATAAGTTGAAGAGAATTTCGTCTGTTGTGTGCCAGTGTTCAACGGATGGTGTAGAATCATACCACTTAGAAAACTCGAGTGAGTAGAGTGAATATCTGATGATGGTGGCGGTGAACTATGAAGAGGAGATAGTGCGAATACAAGAAAAGTGCAACAGCAAGCGGAATGATCCTGGTCTTCAATGTTGCTGCAACGATCCCTACAGCGTATCTTCCAAAGAAGACTCATGAGCTGTTGAATAGGTAGTACCAATACTCCAATTCTATCCCATCATTATCAAACTTCATCAACCCTCTAGTAACACGGACGTTGTTGAGTTCTTCCTGTATTAAAGAGAAACCAACAATTGTAACGACTATGGCAAGAGCAGGAGAAGTGATTGCGATATAGCAGCACTACCACTTCCTGTCGGAGATCACCAGCGCTTTTGTACTCGCTATTAATAGCCTCTACCTATCGAGAAGGTGCCAACGTGAACTGCAACATCACATTAGATGCTACTCTGATTGGAGGAGGCTGGGGGCTGTCGATGGAGGATGAGGACTGGAAACCGCCATCATCCGCCGCTACGGACTCTTCTTCTCCAGCAGACAGAGTAGAGCCAGGTAAGACTGGAACGAGTGTCATGCAGGTAGTTTACTATGAGAACCCTTGAACTATCCGATCCTGATAAGTTTGGACGCAAGTGGAATCGTCTTCTCGGAAAGATAAAGCTTCCAAAGTGGAAGTGTTCCCCCATATTGACCAAACTCTAAGACGAGAACACCGAAGAAGGATACATGTGGAAACTCCCGAGTTATATTCTACCAATGACAATGAGAAGGAAGATCCATGTCACTGCAGGGGGGAGGACACATCACGGTAGCCATCTCAGGAACTGCACAAGCCGACTCTAGGTAGTGATACTGTTGGAATATATATATATATGAGTGTTACTGCGTAGGGTGAATACACAATGTTAAAAGACGATGGTATCAGATACCAACACCTGCAGGAACACCTGATGGATAGGGGGCTAGTGGAAGAGGTATCGGATGGAGACGATTATGATACATCAATATACAGGCACTGACTGTCCCACGTAATGCCACAATCGATACTCTCAAAAGATGATCTTCTAGTAACTCCGTGAGGGCCCACATCATAGAGGGCAAGGGAAGACTCGACCGATACACAGTCTCCGCCATCCTAAGAAGGTATTGGAAAGAGACAGCAGAAGGACTTATCACCATCAGGACGACCCTTTGATGAATGGAATCTACCCTGGCGTCTTCAGCACCGCCAGCATGCTGCATCAGTGGCCGAATACCCGCAGCATGCTGGAACATAAACTCAGTACCATCGTATCTGATGGAGGGAGTCACCATGAGAAGGGTAGTAGATGCCTTACACCCTCCCATGGGCACATATCTAACAGCCATCCGTCTTATTATGTCGCTGTACTTTATATGTAGCGAACTATTGTGGAGGTATTCCCCTAGAGACAAAGCCCTTCATTGAATACCCCTTCTGTAGACCTGACCATGATCGGATATGAGGTTATTCTCGCCGAATGGCATCACCTTTCTGATAGATAGAATCATCCTTCAGTCTACAGATTGTACACAAGGTCTCCTCTCAATATCACACCTGACGACAACCGTAGTGGGCAGTATATCATCACTTGAAGGATACATCGTCGCATCGAGGGCAGGCATCACAGATGAGCACCTCTCCACCACTCTGGTCAATCTCCTCTGTTTTTGTTGTTGCCATAATTTCTGCCGTATCCTTAACGTTGAATCGGGCTGGCCAAAGACCAGAGTGCATTGTGAGGACCTTCACCGCCACCAGCATCAGCTGATCAGGATGAGAGAGAGCCTTCATCCTCTTGACCTGACAGGAAAGGAACTACTCAGGATCGTGAAGTATCTTGTTCAGTACTGTAAGAATTACCCTATTCCTTCGTAAGATGTGGTTCGCTTTTCCTCCAGTATAACGACGATCATGATCCACGCCGCTCCGCTGACCGTAATTGGTGTGCATACGGTTGGGAAGCATACTGGGGTAGTATGTGCTTCATTATTATGTGGTAACAAAATTGTAACTTGCTGAGGGAGTGGCAAGTTCGACAACAGGGTCAGTAATATTGATAATGAACTAAAGAGCCGTGACCAGTCTAGTCGTGAGTGGGTTTAATGGTGCGATGCAGCCGAAAATGGTTAAGTGAACTGCAACTAGTCGAAAATTATAAGACCATTGATGATTAATGCGTGGTCCTGTCCACACGGACATCATAACCCCGAAGGATTCGTGATATTCCCCGCCGACAGTATGGACACCTGAGCATGGTAATCAGGCGGTGACTGATCATCATGACGATGAAATCTACCACCACCACCACTACTACTACTACTACTACTACTACTACTACTACTACTACTACTACTACTACTACTACTACCACCTGAGTTTGAATCCGGCAACGCATACACCACAGAAGCCTAGATGTCCACATGGCATGAGTATGAGATTACCGGGCCGCTCTTCACACACTGGGCACATCTTGCTGCTGTTCTCACATAACTCTGGGCCTGTAGGCATGAGTAACTCCTGAGAAGGTGTGCTGTAGTAGTAGCATAACTACTTGCTAATCTGATGATTTCCTTCGCTGGTGTCGAGGGTACGACAGTCTTGATTCTTTCAGTAGAATACAATTTTGATATCCAAGATAGGCTGTTTAACAATAACGTCGATGTTGTGGAGGAGCCGGGGTTGGTGTTGGTTTGAGCGAGGCAATACTGCTCACACTGGGTACATACAAAACCACCAGTGCGGTTGACTGATGACGAGATACAAGATTGACAATAAGGGAAATGCCCACATGTAAGAAGGACGTAGCCTGGGTCTCTGAGAAAGACAGGAGGAGATATTACTCTCACTATCATACACAGCCAATAGGAGCAGAAATATGATTACTCTCTTTTCTTATGACACTTCCGACATGGAGCCACAGCGCTGCGTGGCAACGATACAACAGATGGAGCACTATCTCTGGGATCATCACCATTCCCATGAGTGTCATCGTCATCATCCTCCTCCTGAGATTGACCATTACCAACCGGTTCTACACCCTCACTAAAAGTACCTGGGCCGCTATTCTGGCATCACCCGCTGAGACATCAATCTGCATTTCATCTTCATCATGCTGATGCTGCGCGTCTGTGAGGCAGCAATAAGGGAACTCGCGATTATAATAACAACACTACCCTCATCATTATCTTCCTGTTCAAATAAAAACGCCGTACTCGGCTCTGCGATGAAGGTTAGGCCCCATGCGACGAATACTACAGGGTCTATTCTGAGATGGGACTACTATTGATGAGTAGTACAGCTCACACTGCACTACCGGCATAGCTCCCATACCCATTGCATTCTGGTCATGGGTGATGCAGACGAGGCAACTGAGGAGCCACTACCACAAGAAGCAGCAGCACTGCTAGTCGGAGGATGAATGAATCCTGAACCAACAGCAGTATAACATGGCGTATGTGCATTGGGTCCCCTAGTATCATCACCCTTCACGAGCCTGTATAGCCCTATGACCATCCATAGCTGGTCTGGAACTATAAGTTGATACCAACGCCAGGACTTGAAGAATTCGGAGGGTCTGAGATGTAGGAAGGAGGATATGTCAATAGGAGGGTGGTGGACTACCTCAATAACCTATAAAAAAGCCAGAACTCCCACTGCTGAAACCATGTTATACGATCTAGGTCGATCATGAGAGAAGCAATAGAACTACTACTTGGGACTACACCTCCGAATATTAATACAACAGAACAGGAGAATAGGCGACAACTAGAATGAGGTTTATCATCATGACATGTTAAAATAATAGACAGTGGTGAAAGAAAACCACATATTGAGGAGAAAGACGAGATACGGAAGAGCCGTAGCTCAGTGAAGGTGATGAGCCCTGTAGTGGTAGTATATCGGTTGAATGAAATGGTACACAAACGTCAGACCGCTATGCGATGAGTGGTTGAGAGTAACACTAGCATTTTGATAGTGAAGGTACGCCAGGTGGGATAGAGGTGGATTCACTTTTCCTATATGGCATAGGGGTGAGACCTGAACTGAATCGAGAGTTAGTTAGTCGAGTATGGAATGATTCCTGTAAAGAAGGCAAATATGTAAAGGCAAGGAGCACGCATGTGATATTGTTGCATAGGCCCAAGACCAAGCCATGGTAGCTATCACTCTACCATTTCACCTGCTACATTCCTCGCCATCATCATGTGAGTCGTAAATCTCCCTATTCTTTCGAATTGCATGTAGACTACATGCAATGGGGTGCGTCGGGGTGTTCAGAGAACCCATTCCGAAACTCAGAACACATTCCAGAATGCAAAACACCAAAATCGCGTTCAGAGAACAGCCCCCCAAACACATTCTGGAAAGCGTTCCAGAATAGATTCCGAACGTGTTCAGAAAACTTTAGAATGCATTCTGAAACACGTTCCAGAAAGCGAAATCTCAGTGCAAAAATTCCTTTCCGAGAATTTTGTGGCGCGCGGGAGGCTACCACGTTCGACAACAAATCAACAGATTCGCACAAGTCGTGGAACTCGTTTTGTACAAAGTCCCGTGATTTTCCTCGAGCAGACTTTTACTCAAGCCTCGATGACATTAGTAAAACGAATACGCAATGTGAAATGTATGTTAATCAACTTAATCTCGACCACTTCATCTACCTTGCTCAGCTTGCCTGCCGAAGTCCAACCAGATAGCTAAGTTTCGCCTTCGTTTGCGGGCGAAGGAAGTTCAGAGTGCCTTTGTGGGCGGAGCGAAGAGTTGCAAGTTACGAAAAATTAAGGTTTCCATTCCAGAATAGATTCTGAGAACTCATTCTGAGAGCGCGATTCGTTGAACGCGTTTCGGAATCGATTCCAGAATACATTCCGGAATATTTGGGAATGGAATCCTCTGAACACGATCCAGGAATCGATTCTAAGAATCGATTCTAAGGATACTTTCTGGAATGGATTCCGGCGGAATTCTCTGAACACCCCGCGTGTGTCACTGACACGCAGACGACGCACGTCGGCTCGTGTGGCTGGGTGGAGTTCGCTCGAGAGGACGACATTCGTAGAATACCCCGTGCTGGGAATCGAACTCGCGCCTAAATATTCATGGCGAGTTCTACGGCACGGCTTGCAATTCTCTAATTCCGTTCCCCGGCTGGTCATTCTCTACATAGTCCTCCATATTTAGCATCATATACTATTCACCCGATTAATGACAATCGACTTCCAAGGACTGCTCAAACAGGCCAGGGCTGATAGACAGAGAGAAAAAGAAGGTAAGATGATAATACCGAAGAGGATATCCCCACAGCTGGTATGGAACCTCATTATGTGTTCAAGAGGTTATCAATGTGACAAGAAGGATGATAACAGGAATGATGGTAATATGAATATGCTTACCTCTTCATGAGTTACTATTTAGTCTGCCCTCTTATACAGATATTGCCAGAGGCATGAAAGAATTCGATTATACAAGTAGTGATTCAGCGACTGAGTCGAAGCCTCCTATAGTATTGTGGGATACTAGAGATCCACAAGAGTTCAGCAAGTCCCATATTGCTGGCTTTACTAACGTTACCACGACAGAGGAAGCTGAGGCATTCATAACATCCAACTATGGTCAACTTACAGACCCGAGGATGCCTCATGAGAAGCTGATCATCGTCGTCCTTACTGAGCACAACAACCTCAGGAGTAGTAATATGCCGGCAGCAGTAGAGTTTGCATCACAGCAGCTTCGAGCTGTGAGTAAGATATACCTACACAGGGGAGGGTACTCAGCATACCGGAACTTCTCCTCTCTTCTGAGCATCGGCTCAGAGGAAGAATCCTCCAAGCCGTACTCTTATGGCCTATATCCGATATGGTGTGGTGATGGTATACTTTCTGGCAGTATCCTGCATGGGTCTAATAAGGCACTGCTAAAGGCAATGGGGATATCTTGGATGCTTGATTTAACACCGAATGGGATACAAGATGCTAATGTGATGTATGATCTCCATATGCCATCCTTTGATTTGGATATGGCTGCTGAGTTTATCAACCTCCACACCGGAAATGTTGGTATGATCTGTGGTGGTGATGATGATTCCACCAGGTTTATGGCAGCGTTGGCTGCCGATATGCAAGCTAGAGGTCCTACTGTACAGGAGGCAGTAGCAAGGATGATGACCAAACTAGAGGGTATATGGTCAGGCCCAACATCAAGCCAATGGCAGTTATTAGAGGACTTCTACGAGCGTGTGGCATCTCTGAGACGGTCCAGGTCTTCTTCTCTATCGTCGACATCCTTCGAACGGAAGAAGTCTATGCAAGAGATGATTACCATGTTACTTCCTCAAGTGCAATTCAGCCCTCCCGCGGACGACGCCATGCTCATCGTAGAGCCGACACAAAGTGCGGACGTATTAGAGCTCATTGAACGTGCTGGGCCTAGGCTCTCTGTGGAAGATGCAGCTGCTATTCTTAAGACCTGGAGAAGTTTGAATATGAGCCATTTCGAGAAGTTGATCAACGTCTTGAAGCCTTGTACCACGCCAGAGACTTCTCAGCGGTATGTCCTTGCGGCTCTATCTTTATTTGTACTGAGAGAATATGAGCACGGGCACATCATAATAATATCTGACCATACAAGGGCTGTTCTGAGAGTTCTGGCTGGATATTGGTTTGAGGAGACACCCTCTGAGTTTGAACAGGGACGGGTTCAAGTTCCTTTACATACTGACCAGGTTCCTGCGACTGTTACGGACTGCATACGCCCAGCTGCAATCATATTGGGGGCGCTACCAGAAGAGGAGTAAGTAGTGGCAGTGGAGGGATGCGACATATGAGTGTGGTTATTATTTGTGCCTGACGGTTGAGTAGGCTCAATATTGGTTTCCTTTTATATACCAAAATACCGTGCTATCCTCATATTAACCGTAATCGTTTGCTTGATTCACCGATGGTCTCGTGTTAATAGTAATGGTCATGGGTATAGTGCTTATCATCGGTAACTTACCGATCTACTCGACTTGGTAACTTACCAGATCTCTTGTACCACGTGTTTACGGATATACTGTACTCGACTACTTCGATAGCTGCAGCTGGTGCATCAATGATCACGAAGTGTCTGATGTATCCTGCAGGCACCCTCAAGTGTCGAGTACAGGTTGGGGTTCCTCGGCGTGGCCCTGTGATGCTACCCTATCGTGGCCTGCCGCCTGAAATGATGCTTTTAGAGCACTGCTCTATGTCCCTTACCAATCTTTATATATGGCATCATATCAAATCTATCGAAACTCGTTTCCTGATTTGGTATTCACAACTAAACATCCACCAATGACAACTGCTGTCGCTGGGGCCCTAGCTGAGATGTCTGGTGCTCGTGTACGCCTGGCCATGAAAGTACTCAAGCAGAGGATGCAGACAAAGCGGTATTAGAATTTCAGAGTGGCTCTCCGGTCGACTGTTAAGTAGCAGAGGGGGTTACTCATCTGTTGCGAATGCTAGGTGTACAGATCACCGCTACGTTTCGACAATGGGCGAATATTGATAGCTCAGACGCTCCTGTATGAGTTATGTGCAGCGGCTAGGAGGCACAGGCCCTACCTGTGCCTCTTGGGCTAAGCAGTAGTCCTTATGGCTTCGCCTGATCCATCTGTATATCAAATGGAGATTGACATATCGTGTCTGGCCCCTCGATTTGATGTAGACAATGATTTGTCTGGTGACCGAGAAATCGGTTGGTTCGTCCACGATTATGCCAAGTTTAGAGCCACTAAGCCAGGACTTTATATCCGCCAACTGTATGGAATGTGCCGCTTGGAAGAACTGTCGACCGTAATTAACGGAGCGCCAATGCTTGGTGACCTTGAGCCCGTGTTTCTCGGCCCATTGTGAGAAAGCTTCGGACTTGAGGATCGCGATCTCTTCGATAGCCAGAGTGAGTGGCACTCACTTTACACTCACTGAGTGCAAATTCAGCCAATGGATTAACAAGGAGGAGTTCTTCGGCCATGCGAGTCGCATGATGCGACTAGCTTCAGTAGTCTCATTTTTCTCAATGATCTGCTTGTAGTCTATGTGTATAGATCAGTTTTTTCGAGTCTCGATACACCACAAGTCCTCCAAGCTGCCCATTTGCCGGAGGCTTCGTGATCCAAGCACTCCCCACAACAGTACTCTACCCTACCACCGACCGTGCGTATACGGAGCCAACTGAATTTGGAAGTATAGTTACTGACGCAGGGCATTTCATAGTGCACACGAGCGTTCTCGGGTTGGCAGTGTGCGGAGAGAAACTAATCTTTCTGGCAGAACGAGCGGGTCCCTTCCTGTTCACGGCCGAGCCGCTAGCGGGGATCGGAGAGTCACAATGAACCCTGTGCATGACATTCCCTCTGGGATCATCCAATGGACAGCGTTCGAGACGAACTCTTAGCGAGTGGAGAGGTATAGGGAGGAGGGGAGTCCTACGGTGCCTTGGGCCCACTTTGCAGTAGGGACTTCATCAGGCACTTGTTGCTCTCCTCACCAATCGAATGGATGTTCTAATTCACGAATCGTAAAGATGAGAGTTGTCACATCACCAATCAGTGATGGTACACCAGCAATATCAACTGTCATACGATCGATCCATTCCGAGAGTGGCAGTAAAGGACTCTTTAAGAGTTTCCTATTGAGGTTACTACACGCTGCCCCTAACAATGGAATCTATCCTTCTTTTTTGAGCTTTCTCAATTCCACTCTTGCTCGTATTGAATAGTTTTCATGTAGAATACTCTGCAAAAGGAGTCCTGTTGGTATATAATCCTCGAGATATTCTCGATACAACTTTGACAATTATAATCACTGTGTTTAGACGCAATTCAAGATCTCTTATGTTAGCCCACTAGTTAGTATTTCATGAGCATAAGTGTGCGACATATCTGCACCAGATTATGCGACACAAGACTCTTGTGTCGCATAATCTCGTGCAAGAGTACACAGCCTTGATATAATTGATATCGTCAGGCCAATGATTGGTATGTCATCGCAATAGCTGCCAGTTTTCTTCAAAAGTGTATCGAAAAGGATGCGCCAGTGCTCAGCCAAGCCTCGTATGTAGGGGGATCAACGTAGTAGACTTGTTTCATGAGCATGAGGTGGAGGTGCGCTGTACACCGTACTAGACTCATAACTAGGCCAATTCGATCGACCAAACCCCCCGCCCGCAACACAAATCGAAACCGGGTTGACGTAGGATTAACAAAAAATAGAATGATAGGCAACGTGTTAGTACTGCGCGATGATAGCAGTAGCACAAGCAAGAGAAGATTCACGTGCTGACGTGAAAGTAACAATGGTAACATTAATAACCCGTGTTCAGCATTGAGCATCTCCGCATGAATATCACACTGCTGGGGGCTTGTCACATTGTGCAGAGTAATCCGTATAGGCCTCTGTGGGACGTCGTCGTTGTAGCCGTCTCAAAACCCTCTTACTCCGAGCTCTAGTGTACTGCAATGCCTCCACTGGATCGATGTTACCTCGCAATATCCTGGATCTCATGACAGCTATGAGAGGTAAGATACAGATAGAGATAATTATAAGTAATATGAGCCAGAAAGTAAGATTACCCACTGTGTCAACAGCATATCGTGTAACGTCTGACCTCGGTATGAGATCGAATATGAAGACAAAGGCTACGTAAATGGCAATGTTGAGAACGATCATTGAGAATAGGAATAATGCAGACCATTCAACTGTGAATATCATAATAATACATGATACCAATAATATGACGACGGTATAGAGTAGTATGGACATAGACCAGAATGATGAAGAGGCATGACCATCACCATTCACTGAGCTTTCAAGGTAGCCCCAATAGACCCAGACACCATAAAAGCACGCCAAAGACTGCACAGAGCCTGTAATGATCCATTTTAATAGGACATAAGGGTTGAAGTTATAGTTGGCAGCTGTCTTACGATAGAGACTTGGAACCACTTTCAAACGCCACTTGTCAAGAGTCATATCCGGCGGATACAATATCCTACTACTAATACCCCGATCACTTCCCGTTATTGGAGCATCTAGATCTGGATGGATATCATGATCGAAGAGTGCAGCTATGAATATTGGTACGATACAAAATACCGAGTTATATACCAGAACATAAAACGATGAATATACCGTTTGGCCAGAAAACTGCGATGCTATCCCAAACCAAAACTGGCACAGAGTAAAGAGATAGTTCTTGTATACGAATAGGTTGATGAAATGTGTATTCCGCTCGTAGTTCCATCTACCATGATAGAACAATAGCCGATAGAGATCCTTGAAGGAACTTATAGCATAATCGGCCATACCAGCAGCTTGATAACCTTCTTGACCAAAGATGCCCACACCAACATGAGCTCGCTGTATCATATTGATATCATTAGCACCATCCCCAATCGCCAATATGCTGGCTCTACCACGTATGTTGTCTTTCACTAAGGATACTATCTGGCCCTTCTGTTTGGGGTTAACACGGCAGAATACAGCCGATTCACATTGAGGATGTTGAAGCACCTTGAGGAGTTTCTCGCGACTCTTAGGTTGATCTAGTAGGTTAGCTAAATTAGCACCATCTATGACCAAGGAGAAGGTATCATTATCTCCTCCACCTGTCACCCCAACACCGCCGTTACCACCAAGTCCCTGCGGTAGACGAGACGAAATAAGATCATCACACGATCGTGTACTCAGGGATAATTGTCGTAGGATCTGAGCAGGGGATGATGAACACCTTTGAGATCTTATTAGAGCTACCATACCTACCTTCACTGACCCCTCACCACGATGATGTTGCTCATCTTTAGCCAAATCTATCTGTTCCTTTATATCCCTACCCTCCTCAGTAAGCGCCCATATCCCACTCGGATTGTTCGTAGCTTTATGACGACGTCGTGAGTCACCATTGGGAGGAGGAGGAGGCGACGACCACTCATCCCCAGCTAGAGTATCATTACCCATTATATCACGAAGGGTCTTCAATGATATGAAGTTACCACCACCGAACAGTGACTGCTGGCCTAGCATAGTATACCTAATAATGGTATCATAGACAGCAGCTACTAGGAGTACTTACACGTTATCAGTATTGGTAATAAGTCGACAACTAGATGCTATGTTGATAGCAGTCTCCCGTTTATCACCAGTTATCATGGCTACAGTAATACCAGCTGCCCTTAAAGCCTCGATGGTCTGTGGAACTCCTTCTTGTAACTTATCCTCTACTGCAGTGCATCCTAGTAATGTGAGATTAACCTCTACCAAAGTAGATTCGATAACAGCCATACGACTGTCCTTATTGTATATATCATCTTGTACTGCAGATATCTCATGAGCTATACCACACCACTCACTCCACTTCATCCTACGCATGGCTACACATAGTGTACCTACATCGGCACCATATGCAAGATGATAATAAACCAACC